ACTCATATCGGTGGAGCCGGCAGCGCTGTCGCGACGAAAGCCAGTCGGACTTCGCGCTCGTTCCCGCTGCGAGTAACTTGACGATAGGCGCGACTGCCTCGTCGTCCCGATACGGCATGCGTGTCCGATCATATAGATCCATTGTCACCCGTGTGATGTGGGTCAACTCGTAGTCTGGACGCCGAGAGACGGCATCCGCAAGCACGCTGAGCTTGTCCGGCTTGTACTTGACGCGGAAGCTGTACTCCGCGAAGAAGGATAGCCACTTCGCCATCCGTTGGGAGAGGTGAGGCGAATTTGTCGCCGTCCTCAAGGATGCGTGGTCTGTGTAGATCTCGAAGGGCCATGAGCCCAGAAGGTGAACCCGAAACTTCACGAGGGCCTACTTCATTGCCAGAAGCTCCTTGTCGTGGACAGGGTAGTCCCATTCGGCGGCTTTGAGCTGCCTGGACTGGAATGAGATGACTTGTTCATGTCCAGCCGTGTCGGCCTGCAGCAGTGCACTCCCGACGACGTAGTCGGAGGCATCGCAGACGACGCTAAACGGCTTCGTCTCGTCCGGTAGGGCCAGGACAGGGACCTCTTGGAGACTGGCCTTGATGCTGTCAAATGCATCCTGGTGCTCTTGCTCCCAGCGCCAGTCGATGTCCTTCTGAAGGAGGCCCGGCAAGGGCTAAGCGAAGCCCGCGTACCCTGCGCCGTACTTGTGAAGGTAGTTGGCCAAGCCCAACCACTTTCGAAGATCCTTCTGTGATCGGGGCGTTGGCCATGCCGCTATAGCCTTGACCTTTTCTGGGTCAGCGCGAACGCCCACGTTGCTTACAAAGCAACCGAGAGCCTTAATCTCTGGTGACGCAAAGACGCACTTGTCGGCGTAGAGCTTGTTCGCTCGCATCACGTCCAACACTCGACGGAGGTGCCCCATATGCTCCTCCATGGCCATCTTGCCTCCCTCGGCACGGCTATGGACGAAGACGTCGTCGAAGTACGTCTGTACGAAGGCACGTAGTGGCCGGAACAATTGCGTCACCAGGCGGTTGAACGTCGCCGGGGCGTTAGACAAGCCCTGTGGTATGACAAGCCACTCCCAAAGCATGCCGCTTGAAGTGCTCACCTCGGTGAGCGGGATGTCGATCTCTCGCATCAGGATCTAATAGTATCCGTCTACCAAATCCAGTGCACTGTACAGTACGCTTCCGGCCATGCTGTTTAATAACACATCCTTTCGTGGGATTGGTGTTTGGGCCGGCACCGTCGCGTTGTGCAGCGTGTTATAAGCATGAGCTAGACGCCACTTTCCGTTCGACTTCCGAGCGCAGAAAGTTGGCGTCGAGTGCGAGGACTTCGACTCCCGCACCATGCCTGCCTTCGCTTTCGCAGCGAAGAAGGCATCGATGACCTCGCACTGTTCGCGTGGAAGAGGCCATTGCCTCGTGACACAGTACTTTGTGCCAGGCACGAGATCGATCTCATGCCGTACGCCTCGATCTGGTGGGAGTTGGCTCGGTGGGTCTTTGTTCACCACGTCCGCATACTCCGTCACCAAAGGATACACCGAATCCTTGGGGTTCTTTAGGATCTCAGAACCCAAGCGCGTCTGATGCTGCTTGTTTAGATCTTCCCGGACGTCCTCGTCCAAGACAGAGGAGGCGTTCAGCTTCTCCCGAGTGGTCGCAGGTCTTATGAGCACCATCTCGGCAACCTTCCCGGCCTTGAGGTTGGCCAGAAAGGACTCGACCGTCATTTCCTCGAAGTTCAGTATCTCTGCAACCTCTGGCAACGGCTTCAAGTGGACACCAGAAGCTTCGACGGGTAAACCGGGCTCGCCATCGAAGATGTGATAACACTTTTCCACCGGCCTTGTCGGAGGAGCCCGGGCCCTGGACTCCGAGTCGCTTGAAGCGACGTCGATCTGAAAGAGGTTCAGATCCGACTTTCGGCGGCGACCGTGACGTGGAACTTTCTTACCCACGTCTGGGATGTCGGAGCGCCGACATCCGAGGCACTCGATGCCTCGTGTGGTATTGTGGTACCCACACAGGAAGCGTGTTCGACGCCTTCCTCTTCAGTTAAGGTTTGGGCGACCGTGTGTGGAACTATTTTACCCACGTTGAACACGCTATTACCAGCGCTCGTGACAGCTGCAGCTGTCTGCGGAACTATATTACCCGCTTGTGGATCTAAGTTACCCACTTGGCTAGCGCCTCCTCTGGGCGCCGCCACCATCGAAGCATCCTAGGAGTCGTCATATACGTCGACGACTCCCAAGCATCTGCTGGATGCTCTTGCGGGCGCCCCGGGTCCTGACAGAGGTGGGAACATGACTCACCAATGCTCTGTCGGACTTCGCAGGGCGGCTGGCACCGATTGACTTGCGCCAGTCGATCCAGGGCTCGTGCTCCTCAAGCCAGGGCATGCCCAGGATCATATCGTAGGGATCCATGTCGAGAACAGTGAGCCGCTCGAGGCTGTCAAAGTCTTCAAACTTGACGGCCAGATCCACCTGGACGTTGGGGACAGTGACGACCTTCCCGTCGGCCAGTCGTACTGACACCGTCCCGCTGCCCATTTCTCTCAAAACATCGGACTACTTGTTGCTATTACGAGCAACCGTCTGGCGGCGTGCGAAATTCTTCGACGCCCCAGAATCGATCAAGATTCTAAAGGTATGATCGTATCCCCGTACACATCCGTGTACTACGAGCAACCCGCCGCTGCTCTAGCCGATTCGAGAGTGCGAAGACTCTCAGGGGCTAAGTCTCCGTGGTACGCGCCACCCGCGCACCCATCACGAAGACTTAGTTCTTCCCCAATAGGGCGCCCCGCCCCTACTGGTTTCCGGCGTTCCCCTGTCCCCGGGATCCTGGCTTCGGCCAGTGACCCTTGAGGACGGGCTTGGGGGAAGTCCGTCTGCGGAGTCTTTTCGCGGGACAGTCGCGCTTTAAGTGGCCCTTCTTCCCGCAGCCGAAGCAGCGGATGTCGCGCTGCTCGCCGGAGCTGAGTTCCATGGGAACTGGTCCGTTGGGGATCGCTCGACCAGGAGTCGACAAAGAGCTCCCGGGCCAGGCTGAGGCCGGCGTACGCGCCTGGCGATGGCTGTATTATTCCTGAAGAGCCACTTGAATCGCCTCTTCAAGGGTGCTTGACTGCACCCGGAACAGCTGAGTGCGCGCCGGGCCCACTCGAAGGCCGTCCATGAACACAGTCGTATAGATGTGTTCGTTGAGTGGGTTTCCTACTAGGGACACCGTGAGCATCCGTATCGCTGGGACGTATACGTGCAGCTCACGCCTCCCTTGTTTGCACGAGAGGAAGCGCGAGCGCTGGCGGTACTCGTAGTTTGCCGGGAGGAACGCGGCCCGGAGCTGTTCGCACAGCTGAGCCCAGGATGTGAAACATCCAGAGGATGTTTCCTCCCGCGTGTACACCCAACTCTTAGCACGACCGCTAAGGTTGAAGAGTGCAAAAGCAATACGAAGCTGCTCGGTCGAGATCCGAGCCGCGTCCATCGCGAGCTCTACCTCTCGGACTCAGAAGAGAAGGTTCTCACCTTCGTTCCCTTCATACGGCCCAATCTCTAGCCGTATTGGCTTCGAGTGTGGCGGATTTGTTTCCGCCGCCGGAGCCTGCAAGTTCTTCCGCACATGCGCGATGAGTCCCTGCTCGTAAGCGTCAAACGCATTAACGCGCTTGAGCTGCTCGGCCGGCGTTCACACCACCAGGCTCTGCAGGGCCTCCATCCGGAAGATGCCTGTCATCTTCCGAACCGACTCGAGCTGTGAGTCGTTCATATGGGAGAAGTCGCTCCTATCCATGGCAACAAACTTCAGAGAGGTTCAGGTAGTCTACCCGCGTTGGCGTGGATTGACTACAAGTGCTGCCAAGTGTGCCGGGGTCACACAGCACCTTGCGCTGGAGGAAGTTGGCTTCCGAGAGAATATACAAACTCAGTGAACGGCAGCTCACAGGTCCCCTTTTACCGAAAGGGAACGAAGTGACCAATTTAAGATAGATTGTAAACTGAGTATATTTATAGGTAGGCTAAGCTTGAGTTAAATATTCAAGCTATAAGTCACCTGTAGAAAAGCGATGTACGACCTTGGTACCTTGTACCAAATATCCCGAAGTATGACGTGTCACACTTCATGTAGCTAGGGGCCGTTACACAAATGGATGGCCCACAAATTTCTATAAATTGTAGTGCTTCGAATATTTAGCGTACATGTCTCAGCGATCGCACATTTCGGTATACATGCACCGGAAAACATTCTTACACTTTTCCGGGATCTCTAGAACTTTTCACCGAAATTTAAAAAGAATGGGTAAGAGGTTCATTGCAAAGCAAAATTTGAAAGTGCAAACACATACAATTTATATAACGTATGTTGAGCGGCTCATCATTACAAAGGGACTTATATATCGTGCGCATTCAAACCGGTGGAATCATAGAAAAGACCGAGAAAGAATACAGGTAACAATTTTCATTTGTCTTGTTAGCTTGAGCAGCAAACTAAAAAAAATAAACGAATTTTGAATTTGAAGCCTTTTAACTAGCTTGTGCTTTTAGAGCCGACAAAATAATGTACGATGTACTGCGTCGACATCATTCCAAAGTAATCGTATTCCCGCGTATATCGTGAGGTCGATATCCAAGCATTTAGTAGGCTCCGTAAGTAGATAATTTAGAGCTACATTATCTCCTCAGACTGGTGATGTTGTATTGAAGTACATGTACATATTTGGAATGTGTAAATGTATGTTGTTCTGGGCAGGATACCGGCGTTGTTTGGAAATTACAGACAGCGACATCTGCGGAGACTTGCCGCCGGAAAGTATCCGCAGATCTGTAAGTTCGGATAGAACTTTGACCATTTATTCCCTAGCCCCGCAGGCCGGTAGGCAATACCTCCTCACTGTCGGGCAAACGTCATTTAATATTCATCGACTTCATTACTACTAGTCTATGAAGCACATTTGTTAAGTTCTGAAGTTGACCACGCTCACTGGTGACGTCTGCAGAACTCGGACACTCGAGTGTAGGCGTCCGCAAGAACTTCGTGCGGCGCCGAAAACACGATGCGGAAGTAGTTGGTCATTCCGAAGCACTGCCGGAACAATAAATGAGTTAGTCAACGTATCATCAACAGCTAACTTACTCAGTAATCAGGTCTAGCTTACCTGACCGGGCAGCACGAAGACAGACTCCTCGTCAAGCAGTTTCTGTGTGAAGTCGAAATCGTCCTTGATCTTCGTGAGAACTTCCGTTTGGACTTTCACCTACAGAACCAAGGTACGATAATATAATACATTTTAATCGCGAGAAAACAAGACGCACGCGTTGCTCTTGTTACGCACCATCGCGTACATCGCGCCCTGCGGTACCGCCACCGCGAGACCCGGTATCTTTGCAAGGGTATCGATGGTAAACTTGGCATTGTCCTCCAGAGTTGCGAAGTATCGCTTCTTGAAGTCCACCAACGACTGCTCCTCGGCACTGCCAGGAACCGGCGTCAGCAAATCTGGGATAGTACTCTGGTGGCAAGAGTCATTACAAAGACCACGTGAGCAGAATTATCAAAAGTATCTACTGTTGAAGAGAGGCCGGTACCTGGACGAGAGAGTTTGCACCAAGGATGTTCTGTGAGAGCTTAAAGTAAGCGGTACGCACGTCTTTCAAGATATCGTTGCGGTCGTGCACCATGACCCAGCCGACTCTCCAGCCAGGGATGAGAAATTGCTTCGCTAAGCCACCCACCGCAACCACCGGAACCGTCTTCGTCAGCGTAGCTATGGGGAAGAACACGTTGCTCCCAAATACCATGTCACCGTAGATCTCGTCCTACAGGTCGAATGAAACAAATGTGAGTACAATCCACAAGTGAAGAAATGGTAGCACTCAAAGCTTACCGCGATAATAGGGATCTTGTTCGCCTCTGCCAAGGCAAGGATAGCTTCCAAGTGAGTCTACATAGCAGTTCAAGTGCAAATCATTTGTTAGTGAGAGAAACCAGCTTGGCAGCTTTAATGACATTGCTTTTAATACCTTCGAGTACACACTGCCGCATGGGTTCGAGGGGTTGTTGACCAGAATAGCCTTCGTATTTTCATCAACCAAAGATTGCATGTGCTCGAGATCGACCTCCCAGTTGCTCTCCGGCTATAACCATTCAAAAACACACGACGCGTTAGTTTCTCACTCGTTATGCAAACCGTTCAGCGTACAAAACGTACCTTGAGGTTGTAGAATCTGCACTCAATCTTGTGCGCTTCACATAGCGCCTGGTACAATGGAAACCCAGGCTTGGGCAGGAGAATGTTGTCACCAGAGTTCAGAAGGCCTCGTAGTGCAATCTCGATGGCACCTGAACAGCCGCTGGCGATGATGATATCGTCCATTGTCAGCGGAGCACGCTTGTTTCCAAAGTGCTGAGCAATTGCTACACGAGCAGTTTCGGAGCCAGCCGAGTGAATGTAGCCATTATGCTGCATGGAACTGGTTGGGAAACCGAGCAAAACATCAGCGTTGAGCTCGTACAGCAAGTAATGTAGTCGTGTATTCGACTCACCGAGTGTTACGGACAACCGCTTGCACCAATACATCGGGGCAGTGCAAGTTACCAAACACCGTCGGATCACCTGTGAGTGTAATATAACACCATCATTCAATCGAAAGTTAGGTCACAAACCCAGACATTTACAACTAGATTTTGAATGCCCACCTAGCGACAGCGGGATCAGAGTCTTGGTCGAAGTCGCTGGCTTCTTGATGCTATCCACGATTTTCCGAATGGGGTTGGAGCAGAGGTTCGCGAAGTCCGATGGCTGCACATTCCACTGGTTTTTGGCTTGGCACTTGACGTCAACCACGGACTCGTTGTCAAAAATAGCAAGCTTGGTCATGTCGATGGGAGGAGCCTGAGTCGTGGAGATTGATGAGGTCAATTTCGAAAATGAGGTCGGTCGAAATTAATCAAGCATGTTGCGTACAATCGTGTAGTTCAGACGCTGCTAATCTGCCTGTTGAGACGCATCGAAAATTAAAACCCTATTTATTACGGTAACTTCTGTACTTCAAGTAACGTTTTATGCGCGTCCAATCACGTGTTGCTTTTCGGTGGTCGAGCGCTTGAAGCTAGTCGAATAGAGACTGGTACAATTGGGTGGCACAGTCTTGGCGGAACTGCGCTTGCTTGGCCACAAGTTGTTCCTTAATCGTGTCTTCATCGTCTCCAAGAGCACCAAACACCACGCCAAGGAAATCAGGCCCCAGATCATCATTCTCCCAGCACTTGGTCAAGATCGCCACCACATCAACACTTGCATTCGCTAGCAGTCTCCGCCACTCTTCTACATGATCAGTTGCTAGAATCTGCTGCGTCTTCACGAAGTCCTTGCTGTCCAGCGACATCAACACCCGCTCACGATCTGCTTGGTCGTTAGTCGCAAGAAAAGCTGCCACCGCATTGCTTTCGTCTTCGAAGTGGAGGGCGGGGCATACTTCTGATGTAGACTGCAAGGCTAGTAGACGGGCCTCGCATTGCTGCTTGACCAGTTCCTCAAGCATAACACGGGTATAGTAAGGCACCATACGCTTATTTGCGACGAGTTGTTCTCGTACGCCATTCCACCAGTAGTTGACTGCAATTGTGAATTCGTCAGAGTCCACCTGATGCCACCAACCCTCGGGAATCACAAGTGCGTCTGCAATGGGATAATCAGCGACAGGTTAGTCGACAAAACCAAGATCGTATCCGCTTGAGTGATGATAAAGTGGTGCACCTCCTGCCGCAACCTCGAATCGTTGAGCCGCTGCCTCGGGAAATCGCGGGTGTTTCTCGAGGTCGGGTTGCACGATGTTGACTTGGCTGTGATTTACAGACTTGGTATGCACTGGAAATGGATACAGCTTCTCCGTTTCTGACGGAGGGTACAGCGTGACAGTCTTCTTTCCGTACAAAACTACCAGGATGTTATGGTACGCGTCGTAGTGTAGCGTTGTCCGGCCCGGTCGCACAGTCATCCACAAATTTACTTGCGTGACCGGCTTGTCTTGAAGACACGTTGGTCTACCACGTAACGAACAATAATTAGTCAGACACTGACTATAAAATCCCGGTCGAAACGCTTACAAGAGGAAATCGTTCATAATTTCTGGTAGAATCGCTTCGGTGCACGTTGCAGCAGGCTTGAACACTGCAATGGGGCACTGTGCCAGATAAAAATCAAGGCCATCCACCGTTTGCAGCCAATGTGACGCTTTAGTGAACGATGCTTGATAATAATCCACGAAGTCCCCAAATTTGAGCTCCACGCTCTGTCTGTTTTTCTCGTTGCCGGCGTAGCAGCCACTCGACCGCTCTTTGCAAGCAATTTCTACCACTAATAACAGGACACTCCATCAGCCTTACATGTACTTCATTTTCCCAAATGGCCCTTTATTCGAACCGGTATCACGGTGCAACGCATAGGAATCCAGCAGGTGGATAGATTCAGGTGTGAACTTCGGCAATTGCGTCGGTTCCACGCACTGACCTACGAAGCCTTCGATTAACACCGCATCGTGTGCATCCTCCATTAGCACAATAGAGTCTATTGTACTTTAAGCGTTCCTGATGTGGTGTACACAAACGAAAATGATTGACCTTTAAGCGTTCCTGATGTGGTGTACACAAACGAAAATGATCGACCTCAGTTTCTACTGGTACTGCTGGGGTTTCTGTATTACAGGTAATGTGTCGTGCAGGGTTCTGGAAAACCCCAAAACCTTGAAATATCAGGGGTATTTATTAAATAGCATGGGTGGGTGTTATAATTGGATTTTTAGCACCTATCCCTTCACCAATTCTTTTAATTGGATGCAATTACTCCATGAATTGGGCGAACAGAATGGTTGGGCAAGCCAATCATTCTGTTTTGCACGCAGCAGTAATTTTCGACTTCTTTGCGGACTCTCATTCTCCAAAACTCTCCCCTCTCCTCAAGACCTCTGAAGCCTAGCCTACGCAGCATGTCGCTACGGACCGGCGCGATTCCAGCTAGCTCGGGGAACCTCCTGTCGTCATAGAGCAGAGGGATCTGACTGTTCGCCCCGGTCGGAAAGCAGACGCAGCCTGGAGCCATGTGGATGTGCAACCAGAGCGACGATTTTGTATATTGCTAAATCTATTAATAGAATGTAGCTACTGAAATATTTGTTTTCTAAATCCTTACAAACTTCTAATATATGAAATTACCAAAGTTGACACTCTTAATTCACAAACTTCACAGTAGTGATTTTGCTCTGCACAGCAGGGTGGGATGTGCAGGTCTATCGATGCAAACAGTGTTTGCGGATTGACCATTGCAGAATGCCGTGGCTTTACGCCCCCTATACCATACTAAGCGCCCAATCAACGACTGCAGTGCACTGTACAAAAGTACGTCGGGGTTTTGATGCGATCGTTCACAGTTCTTCGGCCTGTGCTGAAGCAAGGAAATTTAAGAGTGATACCTGATTGGACCTCGACCAAGTTCTGGAGCTCGAGGCGATATGCTATTTGATGGATGGACTAGAGATTGATAAATCTGGATTGATAGAGGAGAGGGATAGTGGGCGGGTGAATGACTGATGGGTGGACTAGAACATGATGGGTGGATGGTTTTTTTAATAATCCTCAATAAACCCTTCCTGCAAACTCTCGGGGTGGGTGGGTGGTATAAACGGTTTTTTCCCGACCAATTTATCCCCAGTCCAGAACCCTGGTGTCGTGCGAAATGCACACTGTGATTCATCCATGGCAACTCCCAAAGTTTGCTGATGCTTCGGCGCTAAGTCGAGATGTTAGTCGGCGGCGGTAGTGGCTCAAGCAACGGAATCGTTGCGATGAGCTCCGCATCTGGCTGGACTGCTTCCGCTTTATTATCAGTTGCAGCCTTCGAGTGACGCACGCAGAATCCAAGGCGTTGAGCCCACTTTTGGCAGCTTGGTTCCGCGCAACGAGACCCTCCACCGTGTGACCGACAAAAACCCTTCGAGATGGCACCCTTCGCGCAATCGGGGTGTTGGCACCGCACACCTCCGCCGTGAGTCTTGCAGAAGCCGCGAGACTGCACAGCACGCCGACATCCCTCGATACTACACAGCTTAATCCCACCGTGTGAGCTGCATTTGTGGCCGAATTGCGCGACGCGCTCGCAGCCAGCTTCACCACACAGCCGTCTCCCACCGTGGGCAGAGCAAACGCTATTGTAGCGTGCAAACTAACGTTTGATAAGGATTAGATGCTGCCCAAGAGATACATGATTGTACAAGCCAAAAATATTAAAACGATTACCTTGGCGCAGCCTTCAACTTCGCAGCGACGACGACGGTATCGCTTGGGAGTAGGCGAAGATGTTGCTTTGTCGGGCCGTGGGCTGTTTATTTTGGCCTCTGTAGGTGCGTCGTTTGCATTTGGTGTTGGCATAGCCATCGTCTTTGCCTCCACATCCTTATCCGCTTCTTCGGGCGCTGCATAAATAGTAGCTTCTGATTTGTCTCCACTAGCAGCAGCGTAGCTAGCTGATCCAGTAGTAGCAGCGTTCACAGAGGCAGTGGTGGGCATAGTAGTTCCAGGAGACCCTTCATCTTCTCCCGTAACCGGTTTCTTTTGCTTGTCCTTGGCGATCACGGCCGCCTGAAGCAGCGTGTCGATCCACTCGCGAACAGGATGGCCATCACTGTCCGTAGGAGGTTGTACAGCCGGCGCACCTTGCTTGTTAGGCTGATTCTCGATCAACTCGCTCATCGCCTCCACTCGTTACACTTGGATCAAGTCACAGACCTAGCACCTATTTTTTCGCATGTCACAGATCAATTTGAGCATTTGGACCTACTTGTTTAGATCAAATTGCTAGAAAGAGCATGATCCCCCCTTTCGATTGGTGCATTCAGTCCTACAAAAAGTGGAGCTCAGCGACATGCCCTAAAAAAAAAGAATTTTGGCAAAATAATGTTTTTAGACCCCTGGAAACAATTTTTCTTACTGCACCATCTAGTTTGCTTTAATTCTATTTAAAAAGTAGTTTGAATTTTTGAGAGCTCAATTTCGTGGGAGTTATTTTTAAACTTTTGGGTACATAATTTAATTTTTTGGTTTGTTGGGAAGGATCATTCTGATTTACTGAAAACATTCCGCTCACGGATTGTCTTTCTTCGCATTCGGGCCCCGGTCTTGGGCTGCGCTGGTGTAGCTTTCGATACGTTTGCACGGTCTTCATTCTTTTCTTCACTGTCAACAGGAGCGACCTTCGCTTCACCACAAACTGCAGCGTCTCTTTTTTTCGAGGCACTTGCGTTTCGACGTGCCTGCTTAGCCTCCTTCGCGTGGCGCTCTTCCTCATTAATAGATACTGCATACAGGTAATCCGAAGTAAACTTAAAAGTAACGTACGGTCTTACCTTGATGTACATTTGCTGCTTTTTCTTGAAATTCGGAGGCGGTGGCTGTAGAGGCTCTAAGTGCGTAGCTAGTAGATTCGGCACTATTGCGGCGCTCGTCTGTATGCCGTTAACCGACCGACGAAGGTCTCGGTCCACAGGCAGGTCTGCAGGACCAACACGGCAACTGACAACCCCTGGCTTCTTCTCGCTCATTGTGAAAATCTGGTAGCGCTGCACCCCCTTAAGATCATCGTAGGCCTCTGTGACAGGCGATCGAAATACCTTCATCATCGTGTTCTCTTTAGGAATACGGACAAGTGCCGAGCTAGACGAGAAGTCGTTGATAACCTCGAGCAGCTGGTCAGCCGTCCATACGTTCTCCTTGGCAAACCTATTCCTCATAAGGTCGAAGCCACGGTCAACAGCGTTCTTGGTGTGGCCCATCACCAAAAGTTTAAGCTCAACGACGTCAAGTTCTCCAGTTTGCGCTAAAGCCAGCAGCATCTTTATAACGAAGTTATTTTGTTTTGGCCACCACAATTGTCAGCATAGATAGTGAGCTTTCGATGGCCGTTCACCAGCACGATCCGCTGGATGAAGTGGTATAGCATGCTGTTGACTTTGTTGGAAGTACATGTGCATGTACATGTATAGGCAAGATCACGCTGCCGGGGCAGCGGTGGCAGAGGGTGCTACTGACCACCAGGCTCAAGCCCCACCGCAACGACTTGGCGGGAGCGGCGGCGGGTATGCGCCTGCTGCGCCAGGACAAGGGGTTTCTCGGTTGACGGTGCGCGAGCTACGTGTCGCCATCAAGCCGTTCACTGGCAAGGAGCTCTATAAGGGCTTACGGGCTGGCTTCGCTTCGTGGGACCGCCGTTTTCTTCGACAAACTCGTATCGCGGAGGAACTGAGCAACATGACGTGGCCTGAGGACGTGAAGTTGGACGTGCCGGCAGATATTTGTCGGACAAGGCGGGCCGGCATTACAATAGCCAAGTCGACGCCTGGAAACATGGAGAACCCAACGTTGTGGTACGCCATGGACCAGATGAACGCGACTTTCGGACCCAAGACATCCAAGTCCCAGGCGCAGCGGTACTTCACCGCCAAGAAGGACATCTCGACCACGTGGAGCGATCACCTGTTGTTCCTCATGGCTATTAGCGGGGCCGTCGGCGGCGCCAACGACCTGGGTTTGGAGAACATCGCTAAGAATGCGAGTCCGAGGGAGGATTTGCAGGCGGTAGATACAACCCACACCGAACGGATCATCTGCGACAAGCAGAAGAACTGGTACACTTTGCACAGTTGGCCGACCACGGTGGGATTAAGAGAAATTACAAGGGGACGTTCGAAGAAGTCGGCAACGCCGGGACTAGAACAAATACGAGACAAGGAAGCGCACTTGGGCTCGATGAATCTCGCGAATGTTTCAAGTGTGGTCAGGTTGGCCATTTAGAGCGCAACTGCCCTGGAAAGGCTAAACTGGCATTCGTATTAGCCGTAGCGGAAGGAGCAGGGGGACCGAATCATTGGATCCTTGACAGTAGTTCCAGCAGGCACTTGGTGCATACATTGAAACAGCTGATCAACGCCGTGGCTGTCGAGGAGGACTGTCTCCTTCCCAATGGGGAGAATCTGCGCCTGTGGCTTAAGAAGGTTGATCAGCTCTCAGTGAACGTGGACGGCGATGCGCGGCTGATAGAGCTGCGCGAGGTTTATTTCGCGGAGGATTTGCCGTGGAACATCATCTCCTACGGAACGTTGGATGAGTGCGGCTACGAGCTGCGCTACAAGGAAAGGGCTCGCGCGCTCGTGAGGCACAGCGACGGTGTCAAGTTGTTCAACGTTGACAAAGACATTAACGACGTGTTGGTCGTGCGCGTGGTCGGCAACGACAAAGTAACCAGTGCACTGGATGGCGCGGAGTCGCGCGTGCTCGCAGCGCTCACGAAAACAGCGGCAGAGTCGGCATGGGGACACAGGATGGAAGTATTTACCATTTCCACCTACGCCTGGGTCATCTGGCCTACGACACCATCGAGAGGATTGCTAGTGACCCAGCCAGCAGGATCCGGCTAGCTGACACCGACCGACCGGTGTGTGTGCCATGCGCCAAGGACAAGCAGCGTCGCAACAAACAGTCGCGCAAGGACACCGGTGCCAACGCGCCAATCGATCGCGTTGGTGGTGTCATCGGCAGCGACATCAAGGGCCCGATCACACCGCGCGACTGGAGGGGCAACAGGCACTTGGTCAACTTTATCGACTACAAGACTAACTATTGCCGCGTGTTTCTTGCTAAGACCAAGGACAGCACGATGAAGCAGGTTGAACACTTTCTTGTATACTTCGAGAAGCGTTTCAATTGCGGTGTACACTGATGGTGGAGGCGAGTACAAAGTGGTGGACCCGCTCTGCAAGGCCACAGAAGTGAGACGGCAGGTGTCTGAAGCCGCCAATCAAGCCTCGAATGGTAAAACAGAGCGCATGCACCAGACCATCATGGGCATGGTGCGCTCCATGATCTTTGGGTCCGAGTTACCGTTGAGCTTCCGGGGGGATGCGGCGAAGTACGCGGCGTATAATTTGAACCGCAGTCCCACGAGGAGCAATCCGGGCCGCGCGTCTCCACTCGAGCTGCTAACCGGACAGAAGCCCAAAGTAACTGATATCGTTATCTTCAGTTCTCCGTGCACTGCGATCCGGGAGAAAAAGCACGGTGCACTTGCGGCCCGCGCGGAGGAGGGTCTGATAGTGAGCAAGGACGACGAGACCAAGGGGTACCGCGTACTGTTCACTAAAGATCGCGTGGTGCGAACTACGCAACACGTGACGAATGTACAAACGCTGAATGATGGATCAAATACGCTACTACAATGCCAGTTGAACGCAGAGCGCACGGAAGAGATCGATCACACGGACCGGTCGAGAGAGCCGTCTAACGACGAGTTGTCTACGGGCATAACCGATGGTAGCCAGCCTGAGGAGTGTGGCAATCAGAAGGAGCCGGAGTTCACATCACCGGCTACTAATGCCAGACCAGCACGGAAGTCACGGGGTAGACGTGGGGGTCGGAACAAGGGCAAGCCGAAGTCGACGAAGAATTCTGCGGTGGGGAACCCGGTGAAGTCCACACACGGGATGGTGACTCGCTACGGTGGCTCCAAGACACCTCCACATGAGTTCGTTGGCGCTGTGTATCGCAAGGACCCCAATAACTGGTCAGAAGCCATGAAGTCAGACGACAACGACAAGTGGCTCAAGGCAGCGGAGTCCGAGCTCGCATCGTTTGAAGACAACAAGACTTGGGAACTAGTGGCTCGCACGGGTACGGTCCAACCGCTGCACACCAAGTGGATCTTCAAGACCAAGACCGACGCAAACGGTAACGTCGCGCGCTACAAAACGCGGTTAGTCGCCTGTGGAAACGAGCAAGTACACGGTGTCAACTACACGGTAACGTTCTCGGCGGTCATGGACACAACGAGCACCAAAGTGATCTTGGTGCTGTCATTATTGTGGAGAGTTCCAGCCCGCCACGGAGACGTGCCGAATGCGTCCATAAAGGCGGAGACTGAACCAGAGTTGGATATTCACTTATGTGTCCCGCAAGGTATGACTGTGGACGAGGCCAAGATGCGTGGACATGGTGTGAGGGACAAAAACCAGATTGTATTGCGGCTCCGGCGTAGCCTGTACGGCCTAAAGCAGGCCAGTCGCCTGTGGGCCAAAATGTTGCACAACGAGCTCATCAAGAGTGGCTTCGTTCAATGCGCGACGGACACGTGCATATACTTCAAGTCGGACAAGTCTGGTATGACCGTGGTAGGAGTGTACATAGACGACTTGCTTGTCACCGGAATGAGCGAGGGACTTGTGGACGAGCTGGTTAGCATGCTCTCCACGCTGCAGATCAAGGACCTGGACATTATCAGCAAATTCCTGGGTATGCGCGTCAAGCTCACACCCGAAGGAGAGTACACGCTGGACCAGGAGGCGACTGTCGACGAACTGCTTGATAAGTTTGGACTGCAAGACGCACATTCGGTGACGGTGTCGATCGGCCCCGAGAACGAGAATGATGAATCGGGTGGAACTACCTTACTGCCGAAAGAGACGTCAGCTGGTGGCGCATCTATCAACATGTTCCAGTCAATAGTGGGTTCACTCCTCTGGATTGCGCGGTGCACGCGCCCGGACATCGCGTACGCCGTGCACAAGGCTACGCGGCAGACGCATGCACCGACCAAGGCCGACTGGGCACTGGCAAAGCGGATCGTTCGATATCTGAAAGGAACGAAGGGAGCTGTGATGCGACTGGGTGGTGTGGCCAACAACGCGGGCGGCGTGCTGTATGTG